AGGTTAGCAATGAGGCGATCAATGAGAGGGAGATTTAGGATGTAGAATCAATAAGGCTTGCTGGTTTTCTTTATGACTAATGCATGAAGACTGAGAAAATGTATGTCCGATCGATGGCAGTGCTCATGTATTTCAAAAGCATTCATTAAGTCAAAAACACTGTGAACTTGTTTCGTATAAGGAAATGGTCTTTGTCCCTACTTAAAAAACAACCTCCTAATAGTGGTTTCTTCCTGCGTCTATACTTCTATGTATTGTTGGCACTCGTCACACTGCCTTGTACTATTAGACAACTTCTCACCCGAACATGTCTTTTCCCACGGGGAAATCTGAGCGCTCAGAGAGCAAGGACTGCGTTGTGTGCTTCTTTATACCCCCTGGTGCCTTTCCTATCAGGTGTCCAGTGAACAGTAATGGCTGACTAATTGATTGGTTGGGGTGATCACACAGATCAAAAGTCTTCCACATTAAAAAAGCAAAAAAAAAAAAAAAACCCAAAACGCTTTTACTTTGAAAAATTAGATTTACAGAAAAGCTGTGAAGATAATGCAGAGGCTCCCTAGATACCCCTCATTTTCACCTTTTAAAATTGGCAATGGTAGAACGAAGCAAGCCCTGAGTCTGTGCGCTTTCAGACAAGTCACGTCATCTCAGCAAGCCTCGGTTTTGCCACTGGTGAGACGAGAGTAAGTGTCTCCCTGCTTCCACGCTACGCCCTGTCACTGGAACAAAGTCACTGAGAAGGGGCGAGACTGTGGGTGCTCTCCGGGTCTGGATGGCCAGCCTCCAGGCTGCTGCTCACTGGCCCATACCTTGTTCTCCCTGGAGGACGCTTCCTGTCAGGGACCTGGGCCCCTAAATGGCAGCTCCTGCCTGCTCACAGCCTTATCCGAACTGCAGTGACTGTCATTGCCACAGCCCCAGGGCTGACATACAGTCCAGCATATAGGAAGGTAGACAAATATTTTCTGATGACAAAGGAAGGAGAGAGCATTAATGGGGACTATAAAGTGCTAAACAGAATATTTGGGGGGAAGGGAGTGGCACAGAATCATGGAGCCATGGAATTCTAGCTAGTGTCTGTGGCGAACTAAGCCCCTCACTGTCCACACAGTAGAATGACTCTTCGAAGGTCAAATGCTAGTAAGGGGCAGACTGGGGTCAAGTGACAAGCTGCCTCCTAATGTGTGCAGAGATCTAGTGACAGTGTTGGGTGTCAGGAAGTCCCTGCTCTGAACAGCCCTCAGGCCAACAGTGACAAAACTGCCAGGCTGCTGTAATCAAATCTGACCCTGGAAACCAAGGACTTTTTCCCAGCAGCACAAGAAGTAACCTGAGATCCAAGCTACCTGGGGGGACGTTGCCCGCCCCCACTTTTCCTGCACCTCCATCTGACTGTAACCGGCTCTGCAGGGAGGAGCACTCCAGGTCAGAAAGGACGACCCATGAATGTGCAAGGATGGGGCCTCTCCCACCTACCCCCATCCTAGCCCCCCTTTCTCCAATTCCTGGGCTCCAACCACAGGCCAGGACCCAAAGCTCCATTCCGCTCTGGGAGATGGCAGGATCCAGCCTGATGGGGGTGAAGAGGGCTGCGGAAGAGCCTGGCCCTTTCTCCATCACGATCATATTTTCCCTCCTTTAAGCTCTACGCTTTGGTTCATGGTCAGCAGTTTCCACTTAAATCTGCCCGAAATAACTACGTCCATTTGATTCACACGTTTGTTCTTTAAGGGCACAGGCTAGCCTGTGTGAGGACTCAGCAAACCTTAGTTGTGAGGTCTCTCAGGCTACTTGCAGTTTCTTCTTCCTTTCCATAGTCCCCTTTCTTCCTGCGTCTCTCCTCCCCATCCGTACTTGTTAGCAAGTTGATGTTTCTGTGAGGCATGTATTTTAAAACTCAATGAACCAGCACAAGGCCCCAATTGCCTGTGAGCTGGTTTAGCTGGTCCCAAATATGAAAAACTTGTGCTAGAAAAGTCGTCTGAGCACGAGCTGCCTGTTCCCTCGGGATGTGCGCTCTCCTTTTCTGTACTTTGAAACAGCTGGCACAGTGACGAGGCTACCGGCCCAGGGAGAAAGAATCAACACACTGGTGAGCCAGGTCCTATGTTCCAGTGGCAAAGACACGCTGACGCTGATGGCTGACTGGTGGTTCTTCACGTCCCTCTCTCTCTCACACACACATGCACACGTGTGTACACACGCACACACACACACAAACACACACATACACACACACAGTCTGTGGGCTGGGCCTGTTTCAGTTTGGGAGAATATGAAAAACTTGTGCTAGAAAAGTCGTCTGAGCACGAGCTGCCTGTTCCCTCGGGATGTGCGCTCTCCTTTTCTGTACTTTGAAACAGCTGGCACAGTGACGAGGCTACCGGCCCAGGGAGAAAGAATCAACACACTGGTGAGCCAGGTCCTATGTTCCAGTGGCAAAGACACGCTGACGCTGATGGCTGACTGGTGGTTCTTCACGTCCCTCTCTCTCTCACACACATGCACACGTGTGTACACACACACACACACACACACACACACACAAACACACAGTCTGTGGGCTGGGCCTGTTTCAGTTTGGGAGAAATTAAAGAAGAAAAATATATGCATGTATATGTTGTGGGGGTGGAGGGTGTATACAGTCCTGAACTTAAATTGGAAGAATCAATATAAACTCACAATGTATTGATATTAAAATTCCGCCCCCCAGCTTTGTCCACTTAAAAGGCCTAAAACCAATGACCAACTCAGTAACCAGCAGTCCTGATGCAGATATCATGGTCTCTAAATACCTTTTCCGAAAAAAAACAAAAACAATCAAAGACCCTTGGAGTAAACAGCTCCTTCCAGGTCTATGGTAGGAAATATACAAGATGAGCCTAGACATCCAGTCATGCCAGAAAGCAAAGAAACTTTCAAAGACCATTTAGGATCATGTCAAAAGAATTCAAAAATCAACTCGAAGAGGCCCCCACTTGCCAAAGATAGAAATAATCCGAACATGAAGAACAACTGTAAAGGACCGAAACACACCGAATATGTATAAATTCTTGAATGCGTAATGCCCCTAAGGGAAAACCTCTCTGTCATCTTTAGGATATTGATTCATTATTTTGAAAACTGGTAAATACAAGGAACGAGTCAAACACTTGTTGAAGAAAAGAATGTTATCATTTTCCAATGCCTATGAAATAATAGATCTAAGTAAAGACACCAATGACTGCTAACCTTAAAAAAGAAAGATAATCAGCCAATACATGCTCCTTTCTGTGGAAACACACAAATCTATTAAGTATGGCAAAAACCAACAAAAAAGTCCCAAATCTGATCTGGTCCCTGACTTTAATTACTAATTTAACAGAAAATATAGGGGCAATAAAAATGTTAAATATAACCATGGGAATGCAATCAACAAAATCCAGATGATCTACAGGACAAAAAACTGTTTCTTTAACAAAGAGATTGCAAGGAAAAAAATAAAAATTGAGGAGATACTCATGGTTTACAAGAATTTAAGATACACACCAATCAATTGTAACGTATGGAACTTGAGATTCCAATTTGAACAAAAACTAAACAAAATAATTTATGAGACAGGAAAATGAACACTGGCTGAATATTTGATTACACTAAGGAATTATTATTTTTTGGTCTGATAATAGTAATGTGACTATACGGTTTTTTAAAATACTTATCTTTTAGAAGTACATTCTGAAATATGTAGGAATTAAATACGATATCTGAAATTTGCTTCAAAATTATGTAGGCAGAGTTTACAAGGTACTGTTAAATAAATTAAATATTTAAAGGCCTGTGTCCCTATGATGGGACAATCATATCTGAATCTAATCCAACCTCTAGATCTTATTACCAGCTTATAGGGAAAAAGGTGAGAAAGAGGAACATCTTAATACTGAGAACACGGTCAACCAAATATAGAAAGCGGGCAATTCCGTAGAAAAAAATGACTTTCTTTGCAAATGAATGACATTAAAAAAAGAGAGAGGAACTGTTGGAGATTAACTTAAACCTAAAGAGACATACCAATAAATGCAATTTATCTTAGTTGTTTATCTTAGTTGGTGCTTGATTTGAACAAACTAACTGTAAAAGACATTTTCAAGGCAAGTGAACGACGATAAGGAATTACTATTGGTTGGTTATGTTCAGGATGTGATTAAGTTGTTAAAAAGTCTTATTTCTTAAAGCTATCACTGAAGGATTTACAGGTTAAATGAATTATGTCTGCCATGTGCTTTAAAAATACCTCAGACAAAAAAGGTGTGTGGGGCAGCGGGGGTGGGGGGGCACGAAAGTGTGGAGGATGAAACGAAAATGGCAGAAGGTTAATAATTGTTGAAGTTGGGTTTATTATACCAGGTTCATTACTCAAGTGTGTTTGAAATTTCCAAAATAAAAAGTTAAGTAAAATATAGAACATTAAAAAACAAAAACAAAAACAAAAAACTAGTTCTTGCTGCTGATCACTTGAATTTAAGAGACAGAAAGGCTTGTCAAGTTTGGAGGGATGAGGGAGATGACAAGGGTCTGAACTTGACCTGAGCCTGGAAGGAAGGGTGAAGGAGATGGGAAAGGATGGGAATCAAGGCATAGTGGGGTCAAAATCCTATGCATGTGCTGGGTGTGTTGCTACTGAAGTAGTTGATAATGGGTGCTTGCTCCATCTCTTTGGACACGCTATGAGCCCTTTGAGAAGGAAAATGCCCCCAACTCCCCTGCACTCTATATTCTTCCCACCCCTGTCCCTCTCCCCTGTCCCTCTCTCCACATTTCGAAAAAACTCCCCAATCCAGGGGATGGTGGGTGGCACAACCACACCCAACCGCCAAAGGATAGCAGAGTGCTGGTCTATGGCTCCATCTGCTGGTGGCTCTAGGAACTGAAGCTGCCAAAACCAAGGGACAGATTGAGCAGTAGAGGATAATTTTTGAGAGATCTGGTCCTTCTCCAGCAGAAAGATAAAAATAGACCAATTAAACATATAAGACTTTAATTTCATCACCATAAACATTATACTCTGATTGATCACATACAGTATAAAATATTTACTCCCCTAAATAAATAAGACATGACATTATTGCAAATGGCACTTAAACCCCCTGCAGAGATAAGACCTCCTTAGCCCAGGCAAGGGGTGCTCCTGAGATTTTGTGCCAGAGTTGCCAAGCACAGATATGCCCTGGGGGCTGAGACAGATAAAGGTTCGAGGAGCTACACTGGGTGCTTCCGGTTCCAGAACAGCCCCTAAGAGAGGGCTATGGAGCCAGTGGGGAAAGGTGGGGGGTGGGCAGCTTCTTCATCAGCCTAGTCCTAGAGGGAGCAGAGGGGACTGGGGTGGGGGCAGGCTGGGCCAAGAGGGGATGGGAGACCAGGAAGGCTGCTAAGACCTGGATCCCCACCCTCCACCTTCCCCCGACCTTGGATAAGAGGAGTTGGGGTGAGCGGAGCTTCCAAGCTCCTGGGCTAGGCAGTTTTGGGGCCAGACCAGTCACTCTAGGAGGAGATTCTGGCAATGCTTAGCCCAATAACCAGCCACCTCAGGGGACCCAGTTGTTGGGGTCGTCACCTCCTAGACACCAGCATGGCAGAGCTGGGAATCGATTTCCCTCTATTTAAATAAATAACTTAAATATTTAAAGGCCCATGTCCCTATGATGGCGACACAGAGGCCAATAAACCATGTCCTGATAAAATGTAGGGCTGGGGAAATCAATGAACGGGCAGTGCTGTGGGGCCAGGCAGCATCTTCTCCCTCAGGACTCAGCCCCCCCAAGTAACTTTCATACTTTCAAATGCTGTGGAGGAGAGTTCCACACTAGAAACTCCCATGCAAGAGCAACATATGGGGAATCCTACAAGATAAGGGGGCTTGGAGATGGGAGAGCTGGTGATTGAGTTTACTCAGCTCCCCAAACCCCTTCTCTGGGTATGTCTTGACCAGGATACTAGCTGTTGACCCTGAGCCTGGATAATCTCCCTAGAGTCCTGCATTCCAGTGCATGGCACTAACCAAATGCCCCACCCTTCTCTCCCTGTAGAAGTCCAGACTGAAGACCATTCGGAGAGGTACCAGTCAGCCAGCCCTTAAGACTGGGCAGAGGTGGGAGGGAAGCCCCAGTGCTGGATCTGTGCAGCTATGCACCTTACTGCCACAGGGTGGCAACAGAGAGTCATACCACTTTGGCAGCAATAAACACTGGGAGGCCAGCCCTGCAGCCCTAGGAGGCTACCTGGAGCCTAGAAAATGGGGAGCTGGGACCCAATAAGACAGGCCCTCCCTCATTGGGTAGGAAGTACTCTACACTGAGTATCTGGCCAAGTCGCTCTTGTCAAATACTACCCGTGTAGCAAAGTAAATGGCAACCAGACCCAGGCCTGCAGCTGACACCATATAGGCAGTGACAGACTGGCTGAGCTGAACAATGGAGCCCATAAACAGGGATGGGGCCACCTGCGACAGCAGGAAGGCACTGTCCAGGATGGCAAGGTCCAGGCAGATGCCCCTGCCTGGAACAACCCTGGCCTCGGGCGGCTCACCCACCACCACACGCATGGAGACATCACAGGCAGAGGCCCCACAGAGCGTGGGCGGAGATGGGAGCAGGCCGCTGCCTCCAGCACCCACATGTCCGCTGGGGAAGGGGGATCCAGCCTTGGGGCCCGACGGGAAGCTCGTCGTCAGGCTGTCCTCGCTGGCACCACCTCCAGTGTCTCCGCGGTATTTGGGCAGGAACACCTGGCGAAGGGACAAAGGAAAGAGGGCGAGGACAGGTGTGTACCCGGGCACGGGATGCCCCAGCTATGAGGACAGGCCCTGGCCTTTTATCACCGGGGCCGGAAGAAACCAGGCAATGGGCCCTAATGAAAACCAGGCAGCGAGTCAGAAAACTGAGCAGACCCCGCTTGGTCTGGGTCTAGTCAGGACCCTCCTCAGCAGTGGGAGAAGCGGGTAGGGCAGGGAGGGGACAGATCTGAAACCAGAAGTCTGGGTCTCCTCCAGCCTCTCCTAGAACAGGTGGGTGGCAGACAGACAGCTCTGCAGGCTGGGAGAGAACAGACCCCAAGGGAAAGGGAAAGACGGGCAGAATGAATGAAGACGGGGGAGAGACATGGAAGAACAGACGAGTAAAACCCAAGGCGGGGCCCCCACCTGTCCCCCGCCCCAGCAGGCTCCCCTACCCCTCCTCCTTCCTGCACCCCACCACTTGGCCATCGGGAAATCCCCATCATGCTCCTCCGAGAGAAGCTCTGCTCCCACTGGGGCACAGGCCCTGACTGGAGTGGCTGCCCTCCTGTGAAGTCTGAGGGGGGGGGCCCGGGCGGCAGACCCACCCTCGAGGAAGAGAGGAGCAGGAATAATCACGCTCCTCCTGACCACACCCGGGCTGTGCTAACACTGAAGTCCTTCTCCCTGCCCTCTCACTGTCTGCCTCAGATCAGAGTGACCTGGCCCTGCCCTGGTCACAGCGGCCTGAGCCTCCTATTTAAGGACGAGGCTACAACCTATCGGACTGTCCCATGCCCACTAGTGCCCAGCCCAGAAGAGTTCTGCTGTCGGCTGTGTTAGAGCTGAGAGTCACGGCCGAGCTCAGCCCTGACCCCAGGGGAGCCCGTGGCTCATGGAGGTGGGCAAAGGCAGGCACAGGCGGGACGCAAGGCCAAGCGTGCCATCAATGGCTGCTGAAGTGAGCCTCCCAAAACCTTACCTTCCTGCCCACCACCCCAGGAAAGACCAGTGAGGCTGCGGCCTGGAGAGGCTCCTGGAGACAGACACGCTCCTCAGTCCAAGGGGAGGACCAGCCCCAGCACATTCCCTGGCACGAGTGTATGTGCCCAAGTGTGGCCTCCGGACAGCAGCCCCCGACCCCCGGCCAGGGCAGCAGAAGAGCGGAGGTCGACAAAGGTTATCGGCGTACTGACACCAAGAACCCGGGCCCTCCTGCTACTCCTGCAGATACCCATTGGGCTAACCAGCCTCCCAGCTGTGTTTCTCTGCTACCCCACTCACAACCTACAAGGGCAGAGACACATCTTCCTGACAGCATGGAAGCTGAGGGCTGGCCTGCCTCGCCCCTCAGGACAACCCAACTTCTTGCCTGTCTGGGCAGCGCTCTGCACCCAGGGCTGCAGCTCAGTGAGGCCAGTAGACAGAAGTGATCACACAGCCTAGGTCAGGAGGCTTCCCTGAGGAGGGAGCCCCGGAGGGGCTGGTCAGTGTGAGGCCCCCGACTTACACAGTGCCCAGGTGAGCAGTGTCAGGAGCGTCAGACGCAGAGATCTGCCGTGGGGGTAGGGGAAGGGGACGGAGGCAAAGGAGAATTGAATTTATCGGAGTGATCACTTCATAAGTCATATAAATGTCTAATCACTGTGTTGTACACCAGAAACTAATATTGTATGTA